TTGATTCATTAATGTTGAATTCTCTCGCAGCTGCTCTATTCGCATGTTCTGGACCTAAAACAGGGTTTGATCTTTGGTTTCATTCTATAATACTGGACTTATTTTTCTACGAAGGTTTGAACTTTGAGAGTGTTTAAACAAGAGAGAAAAGCATGAAAATGTTCATGCCTGTCTGAGAAAAAAAAAGTGTTGTGAGGGGTTTTACAGCCTTAAAACATAATAATTTTAAAAACGAGGGACCACTATAATACTACATTGTTTTGCTTTTCCGTCCATCCATCTGTGGCTAGGGAACAACTCACTGTCCCCACCAGAAGAGCTGGAGAAGGTGGCCCAGGAGAGAGGTGTGGGCTTCTCTCTTAGACTGCTGCTTCCACAACCCGAACCCAGACAAAATGGACTAAGCAAACAATTTAAAAGTTTGTTCAGATAAATATTAAATCTATCCATCCATCCACCCTCTTCCCCTTATCAGGGTCATGTGGGGCTGGAGCCTATCCCAGCTGTCATAGGGCGAGAGGCGGGATGCACCCTGGACAGGTCGCCAGTCATCAATCAAATATAAAACAAGACTATTATAGGCACAGCTATGCACAGTAAATGCTAACATTAGCTTTCTAACATGCTCACAACAGTAATATTGATGTTTAGCTGGGATAATGTTGAAAATTTTGCCATCTGAACAATTGGAGCTCAGTTAGACACTGTCCTCTTTCCAGTGCCTGTTATTTTCTGCCCTGGTAGTGACCCTAATGACTACAGTATCCATGAAACAAATGCACAGTAGCAGCTCTATCACAAACTGACACGGAGCCTCAGTTATCACAGTCAGTCTCTTTTACAAGCATGCCTGCAGGACAGACTCCAGCAGACTCTAAGTACAGACATTACAGCATCAGTCACTTCTTGGAGGAAGGAGACCGTTAAAGTGAGAGAGATTAGAGGAGAGCAAAATGGAAAAAAGTGTGTTCTTCATCAATAACTGTCTCATTTCTATTATGAAAGAGTTGCTTTCTGCTAAATCCTCTGATTCCAATGTTGGGACTTATATTTTTAGCACATCTATCAAGAACTAATAGAAATAATATCATGGCTATGTGTTTTCTTATCTTATAGTCAGAATGACTTAGAATCTTTATAAATATGTCAAAATGAAGGATATTTCTAAAGTAAATCAAATCAAATCTCTCCATGTGAGCAGGAGAAAGAACACATTCACAGATATGTTTAGAGCAGAGATCGACTTAATTGTTATGTATAGATAAGAGTCAGAGGAAACGTGGATACTGAGTATTCCTTACCTTGCTGTAATAAAGGAGTATCACACATCGCACTTAAGCGCCTGAGAAAATCATACCATATATTTAAAAATCAGCACGTCTGCACGTCTGTTATCAGTATGGATCTACGTGCTCGTAGTTCATGGAGCGCTTGCTCTGTATGTGGCCCGTGTTTATAATTGCTAGCAGGGCACAAGAGTGCGGGTAAGAAAAAGGGCACCAGCTCATTCTACAGCAACGCCCTCCTGCTCATGATAAGAAAAAGCTTGTAGAGACTGCCCTTTAAAATTTTAAGCAGTGTTGCCCTGGAGGAGAGATCAATTATGAGAGAGAAGGGTCATCAGACCAAGATGAGCCAACATGGTTAAATATGTGCAGAAATAATGGATGGATAATGAAATTAAAACCATCCACCGTCTGTCACCTTGATGCATGATTGAAAAGCTCGGCACTGAGAGGTGGCTGCTGTCAGTCAGCAGCGCAAAGCCGGCTGACGCACCTTCGCTGAGATTCTGCCTAAAGACGTGTTGTCCTTGAGGGAGGGTTATTTTTTCTTTTTTGCCCACTACTTTTGTATCGTTCTCTTATAAGCTTACAACAATGGATTGATTAAGGATTTATTCTCCTTATAGGAAGTGAATGGAATAATTAATTCAATTATGTCTGCATTGTGTGTGTGTGTGTGTGTGCGTGTGTGTGTGCCAAGAGCTCTTCCTGAGGCTGCTGGATAATGACATATTAATCCTCTGGGCTGGGATCTTAACTGTGCTTCAGTGAGATATGCTTAAAATGAACAGGTTTAATAGGAATAGCAGCTAAGGCGTATTAAGACAAGAAACTTAAGACCACTTCACACTGGCCTAAATCCATTATTCTAAAAGAAAAGAAAAGAAAAAATAATAATGCTCTTATTTCAGAGCTGTGGAAGCCAGAGATGCTTGACGTTTAAGATAGTAAAATTGATTTATCTATTCTGCGACTTCTAATTCTAACCAAATGCCCAAACCTGAACTAGGCTGCCAATTTTTAACCAGAGGAAATCAGAAAACCCCCATCATTTTTCTGTATTCTGATCTCCTACCTGCTTTCTTGAACCTGTCCAGCAGTTTTTGCCTGACTGTCCTTTGCAGGTTGAAGTAGTCATCCTCTTCATCAGGACTCTTTAGGTACAGGGGAATGTGCTGAAATATCAGGATGTGTTTGGGTTTAGGTTCCTAAACGGAGACAGATGTGAGCGATGGTTACATCACAAGATCTCTAAAGACAGAAATTCAAATGATGTGCCCACATGGCTTAAAAAGGCTCAATCACGCTGGGGTCATGCCATCCTACCGTAGAAGAGGAGGAGGATGCTCTGCTCAGCTGCGCCTCCAGCCAGGCCTCCTGAGCCTCCCTCAGCTCAGGGCAGGCCGAGGCGTCGAAGAACAGCTGGGAGTTCAGAACCAGGCAGAGAACTCCGCCCACCTGAGACGGCAAACGTGTGAGAAAAAGAAAACAAGAGAGGAAAACAACAACTTGAATTATTTCCCATTTCATCTGCCGTCCCTACACCCAATTTAATATTATATTCCTATAGATTATCCAAAACCTAACTGCTGAAAATAAAAATGTTGGTGAATGCGGTGTGGCAAAAACACTCCAACCATGCAGAATTTTAGCAAAATACCTCTGACATGCATTTTAAACTACATGTATAAAACTCATTAGCCATGTGACAAATTGCAAGGCCTTTAAGGAACCATATACTGTCCATATACTATGCATTCTGGTCTTATGTTTCCCCTTTGCAGGCCTAATCTAAAAAACCTTTGCAATCCTAATTAGTAATCCCTTTTAAGTTTACCAACTGTGTGCCCATGGCACCACATCAAAGTTTGTTATGTTACCAAGAAACAGTTGCTATAACTGAAATATGCATCGTCACAAAGCTCCCTTGTACAACTTCTGGTAAAAGAGGTCTAAATGGCCACCATAAAAACTGGACCACACCGTGATATACATATATATTTTTTAACTGCAATATCAAAGTACAGGGAAGTCAAATGCCCAAAAGTAGTCTAAATGACATTAGCTATACATGGTATACATGCTGAGGAAAATACTAAAACGTATTTAATGTCACACACCAAAATAGGTGCAGGGTTTTTGGTCCTTTGCTATTCTTAATCCTGTGAGAGCAGAGATGTTGTTCGTAGGTACCCGTCATTATAATATTCCATTCATCCTACAACCACTGCTACAGGCTGCTACTACTAATTATGGTTTGTGTCTGCTTACCCAGAAGCTGAAATAGTCATCCCCCCACTCCCTGCAATACTGCTCCACTGTGCTGGGAGTGGGGGTGTTACCCAGGTCATGGTTTCCACTGACAAACACCAGAGGAATGGAGGGATCGGTCCCCTTCAAGGCTGCCTTCAGATCTTTCTCCTGACCTTCTCTAAAGGGTGTACCTAAAGGAAGAATAACAGAAAACCTATTGTCAACATGGCATGTGTTAATGTCACACATATGATTAAAGGTAACATAAAACCCAAACAAATTATGACCTGGACCTAAAAAAACAGATGTTTGATTAAGAAAAGCATTCTACTGTATGTGGGTGGAAATGAGCCAAAGACAGCCTAAAAGTGTGAATGAGGACAACGTGAGAGTGAGAGAGAGATTATATGGAGGATGATGAGAGCGCTCAAAGGATGATGAATGCTCAGTACAGCTCGAATTCATATCACCATGGTTACTGACATGATTAGTGGTGTTCTGGCGGTATCCTCTCGGTCCACATGTTGCAGCTGTGTAGACCGCTTTCCAGATTCAGGTTTGTGAAGACATACGAGGCTATTTGCTTTAAAGACACCTCCCCCCAAAATTTTTTTAAAAAATGCTATAAGCCTGGAGGGTACACAAAAAGGGTAAACATCCAAACATGGGTAATGTTCTGAGCCAAATTAATTCAATCCCAGAGTGTATAAAGGGCAGAGAATGGGTGACTCTCAAATCTATTTATAACTTTGAATTTATATCAAACAAACCCATCAGCCGCTGCTCTTGTGTTATCCCCAGTCCCCTCTCTCTCTTCCCTCTCATATTTCTTTTCATTTTTATTCATCTGAGTAATTATTTTACTGGCCTAGTTTTGGAGCAAATCTTTCCTCGGATATTTAGATAGGGCTCATTACATAAGAGCCTTTCCCCAAAGAACATCTTATTCGTGACAGTGGGAGAAAGTGTAGAGTTTAAGAAACATTAAAAGGGAAAACATGGACTGACGTTTATACAACGCTCTTCCAATCTTACTGACCACTTAAGGTGCTTTGTAGACTGCAAGTCACATATTGACTTAATCTACGCAGCAAAAGCACGTTATCTGCCCTTAACTACGGCTAATTTAGAGCTAATTAACCAAACATTAATATTTTCAGACTGTTTGAGGAGGTGTTCAGAAAGGTGCCAGCCAGAGTTTGGACCGTACGCTGTGAGGCAACAGTACTGCCACTGGACCACCATGCATCCTGGAGCTGTCACTTGGTCCTCCTCTGCAGGTAAAGCTTCCAGACGTAAAATATCTAATACACTCATTGTTCTTGTTGTTCATGATCATGGAGTGAATAGTCCTTTTGGTTGGGCCCACTTTCATAACATCATTATAGTACCACTAGTAATACTTCCAGTTTTCTTTTCTTTCTGTGGACATGGTACTATTGACCGTGTAGTCAAATTACTTCTGAACTATTGAACAGCAACACCATGTCGCTGTGGATGAGTGCAGGTGGAGAGCTTGACATTTATTTGGAATTTAATGCTAAACTGAGTCCAAATTCAACTGTAGCCCACTGAGCTTCCTTGTAAGTATGCTAGATTTGTATTCAATGTTACTCACCAAAACAAATGAGTTGTTAGTTTTGCTCCAAGATAGAATTTAATTGCCATCCTATAAGATATTCCACAACTATCACGAAAACAAGCAAAAATTTTAATTTGTGCGAAACACAAATGACATCAAAATAATTTAGTTCTGCATGAATAAAACTGCCTTACAAATTATCAATAAGTAGATAAGTGGTTTTTCTCTGATGCCAGTACAAACTCAAACGTGCTTTTTTCGTTCCCTGTTGACCTGATATTTTCAAGTATAATCCTGATGAAGGGAAGTGACAGCCGAAGCCACAACAAAGCGGATTAATTATTTCACAATCACAATATTTGACCGCTGCCACAATTACGTACAAACAAAGGCCGTCTCACTAATGAAGTTTAGATGAAAAACCGGGGGCGCAAAGATTGTTAGGCAACTGTTCCAGCTGAGAGCACTCTCTGCAACTTTGCTGGTACAGACAGATTACAGTACCTGATTTTCTTCGTTTATTTACAAGTTTTAATTTGCATGAGGTCATTTTCTTTAGGATGGGTGAATGAGAATCAGTCTACTGTATATTTTAGCACCATCAATATGCCCCTTAGGAAGGTACCTGACCTTGTCAGCTGCTCCGGTGGATTTGCTCAGTGGAATAGCACAACATGTTTATGCTTGACATCGCCTAAATGTGAATGCATAATAGGTAATCAAGGGAGATTCCACATTAGATACTATTGATCTTTCCTCTGTGTGTGTGTGTTTCTGTGTGTGTGTCGATGTTGCATACTCTTATCTTCGATTACAAATGCCAAAAAAAGTTAGGACGCTTTACAAAATGTACATAAAAACAATGTCATTCACAATAGATTATTCACAACACATCCAATGCAACTACATATTTAATCCCTGACATATCCTAATATAAGAAAAAGTGCAATTTCGACAGCAAGTCTCAGTTTTGCTACGTGACAAAGAAATGCTGCTGTAAGAAATGAAAGAAATCTGTCAGCATGTCTTTTTGGGATTAAATTGTAAATGGCCTGTATTTGTATAGCGCTTTACTAGTCCCTAAGGACCCCAAAGCGCTTTACACATTCAGTCATTCACCCATTCACACACACAGACACACTGGTAACGGCAAGCTACATTGTAGCCACAGCTGCCCTGGGGCGCACTGACAGAGACGAGGCTGCCGGACACTGGCGCCACCGGGCCCTCTGACCACCACCAGTAGGCAACGGGTGAAGTGTCTTGCCCAAGGACACAACGACCGAGACTGTCCAAGCCGGGGCTCGAACCGGCAACCTTCCGATTACAAGGCGAACTCCCAACTCTTGAGCCACGATCGCCCCTTGTAGAAGATAAAAGGTGTACATTTACAGAACAGGTTTTACTGTCAGAGATGCAAGCTTTTTATCTGAATGCTAATAGCAAGTCAGCTAGTCTCTCTCCTCTTAGACCAGAAGACGCGGTGTCCATGCTTTCCAGTTATCCGCTTTGCCTCGGTCCATTTTAAATGAGTTTGGATCTAGTCAAGACAGCAGTGTTTCTGGATCATTTTCACATAAAGCTTCTTCTTTGTATGATACAGCCTTAACCTGCATTTGTTGATGTTGCAGGAAACTGCTCACTGACTGAGCCTGCGCACAAGATCTACCACCTCATAAATCTGTGCGTTTTTCCGATTTCGACTCTCGCATCTGCTACCGTGCATGACAGATGAGGTTTCCAGACAGACGCGAGTGTCGAATAAATCCAAAACAGCGGTGGAAACTTGAAGGAGTACTCAATTATAAAGTTAGCTGTACAAACTTTATCAGTTGTTTTACATTTTCAAGCCTGTTCAAGTGCTCGATAGAGCCTCAGTCAATACACTTCTGATTTTTGACCCTGTCAATTATGCACAGAGATTTCTCTAGATTTTCAGAATAATTTGATGACATTATGCTCTGTTGATGATGAGAGAGTTCCTTCATTTGTAGATTCAGTTTTTCTCCAAAGTGGTGAACCTCTGCCCATGTTTACTTCAGAAAATCTCTGAGATGCTCTTTTTTTAATACTCGATCATACGCTGACATGTTAACAGTTAAACCAATTAACTGTAAAATGTTCCTCCAGCTGTTCCTTTTTAGCAGCGCTTACTTTTCCAGTCTTTTATTGCTCCTGTCCCAATGTTTTTCAGACGACTTGCTATTATTGATATTTTTCATGAAGCAGTAAAATGACTCAGTTTAACCATTTGACATGTTTTCTATGTTCCACTGTGAATAAAATCTGCATTTGTGAGATTTGCAAATCATTCCATTCTGTTGTTATTTACATCTTGCGCAGTGTCCCAACATTTCTGGGACTCAGGTTCTATCGAGCACTTGAACAGGCTTGAAAATGTAAAACAACTGATAAAGTTTGTACAGCTAACTTTATAATTGAGTACTCCTTCAAGTTTCCACCGCTGTTTTGGATTTATTCGACATTCGCGTCTGTCTGGAAACCTCATCTGTCATGCACGGTAGCAGATGCGAGAGTCGAAATCGGAAAAACGCACAGATTTATGAGGTGGTGCAGAAATGGAGGCTTTTTCCAAATATGTTGTAAAACATCCAGTGTCTCTGTGAGACCGGAGAGAACGACAACAATAGTCGAAAGATGTTGACGTCCTCTGCCCTTTGAGATTGACTGTCACGCTGTGCTTGACTACCCTATGCAACGTTCACACTTATCAAAAGTACTGGATTTTGGGCTCAACAACAGCATCTAGCCACACTTGCGTTTCTCCTGATAAATAAATGTGAATAAATAGCACTGGTTGCGACACACAGTGGCAGGGACGCTGTGCTGCCTTCTGCTTCCTCACACCACCACCTGCCTGCCCTCAATTACAGCCATCTGCTGACATAGTACAAGCATGAATCAACAATCTCTGAGACACAGCTCGAACCAATCCTCATCCAAGCCCCATCTGCATTTAAGATATCTTGCTTCAGCTAACAGTGATGTGTTGTGTGAGTGACTGCAGTTAGATAACAGGCTCAGTGAAACAACTGCAGCTCGTTTGGATGAAGATGTGTTGCTGCACTTGAAAGGAAATTATTTTTAAGTCACAGATGGGTTTTTTTCTGTCTGTAGCAGCAAACAGGAACAACCACTGTGTCTTCAATATACCACAATCTCTCTCTCGGTTATTTGGTGTAAATCTTAATTTAGAATTATCTGGTTACATTAGTCATGCATTACGTTCTTCTTCACTTCCCTTTTTAATAGCACTATATGTAATTTGCCCAAATGGACGTATAAAATATGAAAGAAGTAGTTAAAGCAGATGTGTTGTGCATCATTACATTAAATAAATGATAAGGATTTTTCATATATAAGAAATAGCGAGCAATTCCATTTCATACAAACATTTTTAACGCCAGCATTGTCTTGCCCTACTTTCCTCCCTGCAATATGCAGCACATGTAGGGTATACGCAAATAAAAACACAATGCTGCTCTCCACTCCCCGTGGGGCTCTAACTGAAAGGCCTTGTTCACTTAATGAGATTGCAACACTGATTCTCAAACCCTGACAGGAGACTTTGGCAGGTTCTCATTGAGC